AAATTCTATTTCAACCTCCCTGAAATACCTATGATATATTTTATTTACCCCAGTACGAAACCGTCGCATGTCCAACAAAGAAATTCCGTGCCCGCATCATTCTTTATCCCCTCGATAAAAATTCATGCACCTGGATGCAATTGCATCCCCCCAAGTACACATGCCGTATCAAGCAGTACTCAAACAAATCGATATTGAAATAATTCCCCTGCATTGCGTGAAAAAATGGCGAAAAAACTGAAAAATTCTGACGCATCGTGCGCGTTTTATCGAATTATAAAATCGAATCGGTGTTCGATATATAGTCTAGAGTCTAGACTAGAGCAGCTGTTCAGATTTTGTGTTGGGATGCACCCACGATAATTTTCTCGTCTCCGAAAAGCCTTCGTTACCTCAATAGTAAATTTTCTCCTTGTTTCTCATAGTAATTTGCCCTTTATCTTTCCCGTTTTATCCCTTGTCCTCGTATTGGGTTACTATCTCCCTCCGGGGCCTTTGAAGAGACGAGGGCTCCAAGGGGCAGATGTTGTGCATTCCGACGTACTATATTTCTATCTCACTTTATTTTTTGGTTCTCTCGGTCGTCGGCTTGGGCCTCTGTTTTCACCCCTCTTTGGGACTCAATTGGGACTAGCCGAGGGGAATGACAGACACGAGAATATCCAGAAATGTTTCGAGCCTTAGAGTGCAATCTTTTTTCAGGCAATATTTTTTTCACGATTTTTAGCAATCCGGGGATAATTCTAATTGATCTCCATTCATTATTCGGTAATTTATTTATTTTTTTCTTTCTTTCGGTCATTTCTCAAAAATAAGATTATTATTATTCGCTTATTTATTTATTTCGATAATTTATTTTCCAATCGATAGTTTGGTTTCTTGGGGGCTTTTAAAGTTTTTTTTTTATAGAATAAAAATAATTGGTAAAAATTTGTTTTCAATTTTTAAGAGAATGTAATAAATAGGTGATCGGTATTTTTAGGTGATTTTTTGTAAAAGTCTCACGATACTCAAATACCAGATCAATGCGAAACTCGAATTTCGGGTGGGAGTTGAAAAAGATATTGTCTTTTTATTTTTGTGGATGTTTACTCTCGGGTAACGACTGCTTACATTTCAAATTTTCTAGTCGCCATTGACATTCAAATGAACGGGTGTTTCTTCTTTATTTTTTCTGTGAATTCAAAGAACCGCGGAACCTTCTAACGCTTTCATCGGAGGAGAATTATATTCCTGGACAATCGACTTTAATTTTTCTAAGAGAAGATGAAGAACCTCAAAACCCACCCCATAACCAATTTTTAAAAAAACGAAAAAAAAATTATTTTCCTCCCGAAATAATCATTATTATATCAATAATAATCACCAATAATTAATAATTCGTGATTATTATTAATAATTATGTTAATGTCATATAATACTATCCATGTAAAAATTTTTGTACCTCAAATAAATGAACTTGCTAATTATTTTTTGAGTTGAGATATTCGAAATTTGAATGCAAATTTCAAATTGAATGCGTGTAATTTTCTCGCCGTTATTTTGCTACCGATTCTCATTAATTCATGTTAGTCATAATTGGTTTGCGGAGGTGGATTCATAGTAGTGTAGTGAGTATTTCCTGTGATCTTTTTTTTTTTAATGTGCGGCCCACACAGGGTTCAGACTCCCGCGATTCGATTCACGAGTTTATAAACACTGCGGGAGATCAAATGAGACGAGAAAAGTGCATGCTCTTAAAATTCACCTCATCATACGGAATCTCTGTCATCTAATAACAATGCGCAGCGAATCAATGGACACACCGGGAAAAACAGTGGATTACGGTACGAGTGAAGAAAAGAGAATTTTTGCACACTACCCGATTTTTTTTT